TCTTGAAGACTCGGTTTTCTGAAAAACTATGAGCTCAACGCTAAAAGAAAGGTTTTGGTTACTTTTTAGAGTTTCTGAAAAACTGGTTTTCCAGCAAAACGGATCTTCAAGAGTCACGGTGGAAAATACTTTACGCCATTGTAATCAGCTCGTTGAGTTCTACAAATTATGATATGTCCCATTGAAAAGTGAGAGTAACACTTGGCGACCTTCCCTCGTAAGTAAAGGGCTTCTCAGAGACAGTAAAAACACTTGCTAAACCAGTAAGAGATGTTCGGACAATTTTGTACCTCTAGTATTATTTAAGATGAATATTTCGACAAACAAATGTATAAAAGAAGTGATCCCCATCAAAATTAATTATTATGTTACTGACTAATTAATGAATCAACACAGTTTTATCGCACTATACTTGTACTACAGTGAGTATATTTCTAAACTTCTTGAACAGCGAACGTTTTGAAAATATGATCCTGTTGAGAGACTGAGTTTGACATAATTAAAATAAGTTTCAAAAAAAAATCAATTAAAATATGTCATCCACAACAGGTGCACATTCAAATGATCTTTTCTTCAAATTTGATCAAGTACAACCAAGGTAGCTGACCTGGAAGAGAAAAGTATGGCAGACCCAATAATAGGTAGTCTGACTACATAACACATTTCGTGATGACAGAAGTTATAATTTTTATTTTTGATTAAAAAGCAAAAAATTAGAAGCTATCTGCCAATAACAGCTACAAAAATGACTGGCAATGACAATATTATATTACTTTTCCCTTTACTTTAGTCTTGGTTTTACAGAATGGTTGTCTGTGTCTATGTGTGTGTGCGCAAAATATGGAAAAATGGCTGCCAGATATTTCATGGATAAGCCAATCACAAGAAGGAAGATAAAAAATTCTTTTTTAACTAGGATAGAGAAAATATTCAAACAGATGATCTGAAATACCTACTGATCCAGAGAGAAAAAAAAACCTAAGCAAATTTTTTCTTGTTATTCGGAGACAGATATCGCGAGAAATCAGTCATTTTTGAAAACAGACAATAGTGATCTACGGAGAATCCCTAGTCGACTCTCCCCCTGAAAGTCCCCGGGGACTCCCCAGGGAGTCCCCCTCCAAGTCCCTGGGGAGTCCCTAAAAATGTGTACTCCCCGGGGAGTCCCTAGGGAGTCACCCTCATACTCCCCAGGGAGTCCCCAACATATACAATCCC